TGCCTTGCCCCCCCCCCCCCGTGCTGTACCAACGCAGGGATCAGAGTGCCGGCCGCAATGTGTACATAGGTCAGTGTATCGACACTCGCGAGCGACGAGCTGCTCCGACAAGAAGCTGAATCCATGAAAACCCTCTCTCCTCCCGCAGAGAGCGCTACGGGACGCACATCTTGGACGCCGCCTAACGCCGGCATGCCAGGCGCTAGACCGACGCATCCTCAAGGTCAAGCTCGCATGAGTCTGCCGCCCATGCAAGGGCCTCCCTCCATGAGAGGCCCATCCGGATTGGGTGGTCCTCCGACCACCGGTACGCCGCTTGGGGCTCCTCCCGGCCCCGGTGGTCCCCCGACCTCACCAGGCGGTGGCGCTGGCGCAGCGGCAGTGCCTGGCGCATCCAGACGAAGAGCATACCCCACTGCCCACCTAGCAGCTAACAGCGTTTCCTTCTCGGGTGGATTCGACCCGGGTGCGGGAGGCGGTGCTGGCTATCCCGGTCACATCCCTCAGGACACTCAGCAGTCTCAACTTTTCACGCCTGGCGCTCCTGAGCCTCAAGCGCAGCTGCCTGGAGCAAGCCCTGGCGTCCCTTCGACGGCTTCTCCTTATGGCCAGCCTGCTGCTTACCCCGGCCAACAGGCACCCAATGGTCATGCGCAGCAGCCCTATCCAGGTCAGCAAGGAGTGTCCGGGCTCGCCAACCAATTCCAACACATGGGCATCGGCAGCCAGGTCGGAGCTAGAGGGGTAAGTCAACGGTCATTCTGCGCAGCATACGCGCACCAGTGCTCGCTGACTCGTGCAACCCTGCGCAGAATCCGCTGCTCACTGTAAATTTGTCAGGCGTGAATCCGGTCGTCACCGACCTGAACAGACCCCCGCCAGACATCAAGCTGCCGCCGGGGGCCAGCGTCTCGCAGAATCCCCTGGCAAACGCGGATCCATCGTACCAGCGATGCACACTGAACGCGGTGCCAACCACATCGGCGCTCCTGAACAAGTCCAAGATTCCTTTTGGATTGGTCTTGTCCCCCTACAGATCTGTCAGGGAAGCAGATGGAGATCAGCCTGTGCCAGTGGTTAGCGACACTGTTATTGCGCGTTGCAGACGCTGCCGCACCTACATCAACCCCTACGTGACGTTCATCGAGGGCGGCAACCGGTGGAAATGCTGCATGTGCAACATCTCCAACGAGGTGCCTAACCTTTTCGACTGGGATCAGGAAACCAATCAGCCTGCTGACAGATACCAGCGCCCAGAGCTCAACCACTCCGTTGTCGAGTTCATCGCCCCCCGAGAATACATGGTGAGTGCCTAATCGAGTAAGGTCCCTTTTGGATGCGCATACAGCCCGTCTGACACACGATGCGCTCCTACGGCAAACCCTTCGCAGGTTCGACCGCCACAGCCTCCTGTCTACGTCTTCTTAATTGACGTCAGTCAAGTTGGCGTGAATAGCGGAATGGTATCCGTAGCTGCAAAGACCATCCTCGAGACGTTGGATCGCTTGCCCAATGACGACAACCGGGCAAAGATCTCCATCATCGCTGTCGACACTGCCTTGCACTTTTTCTGCTTACCAGTGAGCCAGACTGAGCCGGAGATGCTCGTTGTGAGCGACCTGGACGACGTGTTCCTGCCCAAGCCCAACGACATACTGGTCAATCTGACAGAGTGCAGAGCTGGCGTCGAAGCTCTTTTGCAAAGATTACCCGACATGTTCAAAGATACGCTTGTTCATGGATCCGCCCTCGGCGCGAGCTTGCAAGCCGCGTACAAGCTCGTTTCGGCAATCGGAGGAAAGATCATGGTACTGACAGCCAGCTTGCCTACTGTCGGGCCTGGCGCACTAAAGAACAGAGAAGACATCAAGCTGCTCGGCACCTCGAAGGAAAGCACCTTGCTCAATGCTGCTTCCACCTTTTACAAGACCTTCCCAATCGACTGCTCTAGGTCTCAAGTCAGCGTCGACATGTTCCTCTTTGCTCAGAGCTACACCGACGTGGCCACGCTCGCGTGCCTGCCTCGCTACACTGGAGGTCAAACGTACTTTTATCCCGCTTTCCATGCTGGAAGAGCCGAAGATGCAGCCAAATTTGCTCACGAGTTCGGAGAGGTCTTGGCCAGCCCCATCTCTTTCGAAGCTGTCCTGCGACTCCGCGCAACCAAGGGAGTCAGAGCTGTTGGTTTCCATGGCAACTTTTTCGTTCGCTCTACGGACTTACTCGCCCTGCCGGCTGTCCCATTGGACCAGAGCTACGCCATCGAATGCGAAATCGAAGAGACGATCAATGCGCCGTTCATTGTCTTGCAGAGCGTCGTCCTGCACAGTACCAGCTACGGCGAAAGACGCATCCGAGTGGTCAACTTGGCGCTACCGACTACTACAAGCTTGTCGGAAGTATACGCTGGCGTGGATCAAGTAGCAGTGGCCGTGCTGCTGGCAAACAAGGCAGTGGAGCGCAGCATCCACCACAGACTTGAAGATGCGAGAGACGCTTTGACGAACAAGATGGTGGATATTCTGCAGACCTACAAGGCGACGATGACGAGTGCTGGATCGGGCGCTAGTCCTCAACTGGCCATCGCGTCCAATATGGCCCTACTGCCCTTGCTCATTCTTTCCCTCTTGAAACACGTCGGAATCAGGGCCAGTTCTCAGATTCCTTCCGATCTGAGAGCGTATGCGCAAGCTCTGCTCACGACGCTACCGGCTCAGCTTTTGATCCCGTACCTACATCCAGACTTTTACTGCTTGCACAACATGCCACCTGAAGCGGGCACGACTAGGTCGGAAGATGGCAGGGAAGCAGTCATCTTCCCCGCCAAGCTCAACCTTTCCTCGGAAAGGCTCGAGAGGCATGGGCTGTACATGATCGATGCTGGGCCGGAAGGTGTTATGCTTTGGCTCGGAAGAGATGCTGTGCCGCAGCTCTGTATCGATGTGTTCGGAGCGGAGAATTATCAGTCGGTTCGAGGTGGAAAGGTGAGTCGGCAAGATGCCCTCGGCCTGATCCTGGCACCTCTAACACGCCTCTTCTCATGCTTGAAAGACGACACTGCCGGTGCTAGAAAACGCAATGAACAAGCGCGTGCGGACATTGGTGGATCGTGTCAGGGTATCGCGCAGAGGACCTTACTTGCCGCACGTCTTTATCGTCAAGGAAGATGGAGAGCCGGCTCTGAGACTCTACGCCCTTTCCATGCTGGTGCAGGACAGATTTGAACAGAGCCCGAGCTATGTTCAGTGGCTCGGCACGCTCCGGGACAAGGTGAATGGCGCATCTTAGGTGAACAAGGTTCAAGAGCATCCCATCTTTGTCCGCCTGCGCCTTGATTAACCTACTCGTCGATGGACTGAATCTGGTCTCGGCAAAGCCATTGGCTGTGGCCTCATTTTGATTCGAGTGATGAGGCTTGAATAGCTACCCAGTGCACCCTCACCTTATCGGTCGAGCGCCGAGTGATGCATTCGGCCACAAGAGCCGCTCGCACCACAATTCAATCGCTCCCCTACCCTTTGCCACGTCTTCTTTAAAATCCTACAGCGCTTGGTACAGACGAATCCAAAATGCGACGTTGACCACGATGCCAGAGTGGCAGTGTTGTGTGTGTGCCGCAGCTGCGGTGGGTCCGTCTGGAGCTGGATGGAGATGCTGATGAGTGCATTCCTCGCTTCGGGTTGACGACCCGCGATCAACAGGTGCCTGATCGCTCCACGCCCAGCGCAAAGGCGCCGGACCCTGACCGCGCCTTAGTCAAGGTAGCGAGCTAGCTGACCGAAGAGTCTGTGCGCAAAAGGCCAGACCCTCGCTTCCTAACTTGGATCGATGACTTCCATTCATGATGCGCGGACTTTTGGCCCTGGGTTAGCTAGGCGGTCATCA